TAATTAATGGATAGATCTTACAAAGAAAATGATGTGACATAGCATGAGTCTGCTTTTAGTTTTGCGGTGAGTTTGTGTGGCTAGCACCAACAAACATTAATAATCCATAGCTTGAAAGTTTTATATTTAGTTGATCGGATGTGCCCTTTTCCATTGACTTGTTATTTGATTGTTGGCAATTACCAGGCGATCTTCTTGGTATGGGTGTGTATCTCCAAAGGGTTTTGATTACCTGGTTGTAATTTTAGTTACCATTTGGTAACCACGTTTCTCGTCCCCAGCAGTACGCACTCTTTGCTTTTTTAGTTTAACCAATTAACATGTTTAATTAAATAACATAACATGTTTGTTTAACGATATATCAGTGGAAAGGTCGCGCGAATGCGGTGGTAATGCGACGCGACACCATACTAAGCTCCCTAGAAATCGAGGCTTCTAGTGCATCGAGGTAGTTTTTGCATTCATGGTCCTACATGCTAGCGAGTGGATCGGTTGTGTGCTATAGTTGGGCCTACTCGCACTTTACTGTGGCGCTTCTATGTTGTTAGATTGCCAAATCTTTAATTTTGTGAACATTTGTTAATTTCGTGAACATTTTTAAAATTCGTCAACAATTCTGAAAATAGGGGAACTTCTTCTGAAATCTGGGAACATGTTCTAAACTCACGAGAACTTTTAATTGACAAATATTTTTTGGATTTTGAGGAACAATTTTGAATTTTGCAAAATTGGACATTTTATATATTCAAAATCATTTATGGAATTTGCTAATATTTTTTAAATTCATGATTTTTAATGTAATGGACATTTTTCAAATCTGTAAATAAATACATGAACATTTTTATTTTTAGAATGTTCTTAAAATCCACTAACGTACTTTATTTTATCAATACATTTTAAATATTCTCTCTAGCTTTTTTTTCTAGTTTTCCTTCCTCTTTGTTTTTACCTTCACTTTTTTAGATGGGCCGAGGCCCAATCGGGTGACTGCCAGCCAACTGAAGTAACCATCTTGGGGCGTGCGTGTTTGGTCGTCATTCCAGGTGTTGCGTGTTCAATAGGGTCTCCAACGCGTTTGGGTTATTTCGCTGCCGGGGAAGTGGCGACCTGGTATCTTGCTTCGTGTGTTTGTGAGGGGTTCGCCGGTTGGCGCCAACTTGTCGGTTCTGGGTTGAGTGACCGGGCCTCCACTTTCTTTGACTTCTCTGTCATCTCATTGCGGGGTGTATTCGCTTTGGAAGACCCACCCTAGCTAGGGGAGAGGTAGAACAAAAAAAAAACAGGTGTTGGAGATTGATGCCAATACTATCGAAAAGTTGTTGTAGTTAGAGCATCTCCAACACGCGTTCAACGCGCCGTGCGGTAAAAATGGATTTGACGCACGCCCATCGTCTGGTTTGGCGCGGCGCGCAGCGTTTGCTTCAGCAGCCGCGCTGAAAAGCCGCGCGCACGCAGCTCCAGCAGGCGCGGTAAAATGCAGCACCCGCGCTCATTCTATAATATTTTTTTAATTAAAATTGCATAGATAAAAAAAGCGATACATAGATATTTTACATCGGTGCAACTACTACGGTATAGATGATAAATAGTTGAACATACATAGATAGATAGATAGAAACTACCACGGCATACATAGATAGAAAACTACTCTAACTCGCTACCATCACCATCGTCATCCTCGTCGGTGTCGTCCGAGGTTGAGAGCCATACGTCGTCCCAACGTTCATCGTTCGAGGTGAAGAACGACCTCCCACCTGCGGAGACGATGTCGCACTGCTCGTTCGCCACTGCCTTCCGCTGACGCTGGTCCGCCCGCTTCGAGCGGCGCCTTGCCGTCCTCTCCGCCCAGTAGGCACGCTCGGTGTTGACGTCCTCTGGGTGGCGACGGCGCCACTCCGCCATGGCTCGCTCGTCCTCCTCGGCGACGAGGAGAAGGCGCTGCCGCCGAGCGTGGTCGGCACGGTCCATGTCCGTGATGAGACACGGCGGAGGGGCGAGGCGCTGCGCCTCCTCGCGCGTGAAGACGTCCCGGAAATTCATCTGGGACCGGGGCCTCTCCAAGCGCCACGCCGCAGCGTCGTACGCGCGGGCCGCCTCGCGCGCGCTCCGAAACGTCCCGAGGCCGAGCCGGACGTCGCCGACCCGTATCTCGACGGAGTACCAGCCGTTGGGGCGCTCGCGGACGCCGCGAAAGCCCCAAGCACCCCGGCGGCATGGTGGCGGCGTAGAAAGCGGCGACGCGGTGGAGTGCGAAGCGACAAGATTGCGAGGAGAAGGGCGCGTGGCTGTTCTGTGCGCGTGGTGAAGCGCGGGACTTTATAGGCGCGCGCGAAGCGGCGCGCCAAATCTAGCGCGCCGTGTGCCGCTTTCTACGCGCGCGCGCAAATGCTTCCCGCGCGCGGTAACTTCCCGCCACCGCTGGAGCGCGCGGAACCAACCGGCGCGCGCGAAAAACTGATTTTACCACGCGGGCGCGCGTTTTGCCGCGCCTGTTGGAGATGCTCTTAGGCCTTGTGGCAGTAGATCTAACATCAAAGTCAGGAAGCGACTAGGTCGAGAGATTATAGTCCTTTTAGGGATGAAAACTAGCACAAGAAGAGTAATTTTAGTTGCGGCAGAGGCACAAGTGAATTGGGTGGGTTGGGGAGGAGGGGTGCATCGTACATGGGTTTAGGGTCATGCCTACACTTGGTAGCAAAAGTAGAAAAGTTAGAGAAAAAAGAGGTCCATTTTGGTTTATATGGTCTAATGATCGAGTCGGTTTATGTAGGATAAAATTGATGATTCACCTGAACTCAAACAATTAACGATGAAAACATCGAACCGGACACCATATAAACACGATGAAACAATCGAATCAAATACCATGTAATAAACCAAGCGAACCAACTTGTGGTTGGATTGGTTAGAGGGACTGTGATATTTCCAGCCCATCAGGTTTCAAATCCTGGTGCTCGCATTTATTTCTGGATTTATTTCAGAATTTTCGGCGATGCGCATTCAGTGAAAGGAGACGTTCCCGTCTTTCGGAGACGCTCATAAGGGTCGGTGTGCATGTGCGCGTTCATATGAGTGAGTGTATGCACGTGTATATAAGCTCTTGCGTCTGTACTGTGTTAAAAAAACCTAATAAACCAGGAATATCAATCAACTTAGTTTTCAGATTTTCGGTGTAAAAATGACCACATCAATTCGTAATAGTAGTATAAAAAGAGACTCAACTGGCGAGCGTGAAATGACACGACAAAGCTTGCGTCATCCTCTAGCGCATTGCATAAAAACATAGAGAAAACTCGCGATTGTAAAAGAAGAGAAGAGAACAAATGCCAGCTCGTTTCGCCTTTTGCCTTTCGGCTCCATCCTCCCCTCGTGGCCAGTGGCCAGAGCCAGGTTACGGGCACACGCCTCCCTCTACACGTCGGGTTCCCACCAGCCTGTGACCCCACCCGGCAGGCACACACGCGCATACGCATCTTTCTCATCTGCCGCAGGACGGCAGAAGGCACCGCCCCGCACCCGCACCTGCTCATCATCTTCGAAGCTTCTCTCCTCCTCTCCACCCCACTCGACGACCAGCTAGTGCCGACCTCCTCCACAGCGCCAATCCGACGCGGCCGCCGCTATCCCGAGATCCCGTGCCCAACGCTCCCTCTTCGAGGCCAAGCCAGGTGATTCTCTTCCCTACCCTCCCCTGGATTGCTCTGGGCGGTTTCTCCGCGTTGATTAGGCCAATTGCGGTGGGTCTGGCACTGGGGTGGGTGAATTGGGTGTTACTTGTGTGCTCCATGGCCGCTGCGAGGCAAAACTTGGATCTTCGATGTTTCCGTCGGGGTTTCTCTTTTGTTTGCCTTGTTAGTACGCGCTCAAGATCAGTTCGTTTTCTTCGTCCGCGTTATGGTGTACTGATATCAATGGAGAACTTGTGGATGGATGATTCGATGTGATGATGGGGCCGTGAATTAGGTGGGTGATCGCAATGGGCTGTCCGAGTTAATTTTCCTACTGCTTATTTGCTGGCCGGATTGGTAAAGCTCAAACTTTTTCCTTCTTATATGCGTGTTCTTTATTGCTCCACAATTCAATTGAGCTCGTTTAGTCCAAGACGTGCTGATCCTTCTAAATAATTTGGACGTTCCTGGGATTAACTCATATTTGAGTTCGGTCTCATGCTGTTTGAGAATCCCATAACGCCTAATCTGCTGCTTCAAATGGCTTGTCCAAGATTGAGAGAATACACTTGATTAGTTAAGGGATTTAGGCCGTGGCTTGATACTGCATAAATTAGGTTTCTGCTTGCTTCTATCAGCTTTTTGGCGAGACAATCGAGGAATTTGCTGTGTTTGTTCTCTTTAATTGGTTTATTGAATGAGGATTTAGGGGGAAAATCACATATTCTTGAAATGCATCCTGTCTGGTCGTTTAAGTGGAGCTGGTCATGGTTTTGTTGTATATACTAGTATACCCTTATGGACTAGGGAAGCAGTGTTCTAGTTGATGCAGGATCGTATGAGGTTAATTGCTGGCTTTGTTCCCAGCATCTGAGTTCAGTTTCTGTATTTCTATTTGGAGTTCCTCGGTGCTGCTGAGAAGAGATAAAATTTTGGGACAGATTTGAGCAGGCTAGTTTTAGTGGAAGTGAATTTGTGTGCTGTACCCAAAGTGCTTGCCTGTGAGTGACGCATACCGAGTTTTTGTAGAATATTTAGTATATACAGTGGTGATCAAAATTTATATTTCCTTTTGAATAGACTGAATCTAATTGGTATGCACAACTGCCGATGAAACGTCGGGTTATCTTTCTTGTCAGCTAAGTAAACTTTTGGATATTATCTAATCGTAAATTACTTAATATGTGGAAATGCAGGTACGAAGTTGCACTGTCTGTGCATTGTTTTATATAAAAACATCTCTCTGCCATAAGAGCTTTGATCTGCAGTGCATGGCTCTGATTTTGCTGTTCTTCTAAAATTTGCTCAGCATCAAGAGTGACACACATTAAAATGGGATCTACACGAGCAACGAGTGAAGATGACAAGGCTCTTGTCTTGTGCCAGGAAAGAAAACGTTATGTGAAAGAAGCACTTGATGGGAGATGTGCATTTGCAGCTGCTCACTTTGCGTATATTCAGTCGCTGAGGCACACAGGATTTGCTCTGAGAAAATTTGTAGAACCTGAAGTGCCAACAGACTCTTCATTATACACATCAACATCTGCAACACCAGAGCCTCCTGGCATGAGGCATAGATCGATGAACCTCTCCCCATCTGTATCACATCCGGCCAGTGACTCCTTCTCCCCAGCTCCGTCCCCGTTATCTTCAGGGCGTTTCCATGTCAATCATATGAAAGCCGGGAGGAACCCAGCGAGGACTGTTGAGGAAAAGGTGCCTGTTCCTGTAACAGCAACTCTGGAGACTTCATCCTCAGTTCCCATTCAAACTGTACATGATCTGGATGATAGTTCTACATTTGAAGCTCCTCCAGGGACACCACCATGGGACTACTTTGGCCTTTTTCAACCTGTTGAGAGCCAGTTGTCATTTCATGATGAGAAGGAATCTGGTCATGATTTTGAAAATGCTGATGATATTAGGCGCCTTCGGGAGAAGGAAGGAATTCCAGAGCTTGAGGAGGAATTGGAGAAGTCGCATGCTCATGCTGGTGATGTTAGGCTCTCGCAACAGGAGAAAACTCCAGATGTCAGAGATGGGGAGCAATCTACTATGAGTGGAAGGGAGGATGATTTTGCAGACTCAGAAGATGATTTTGAGAACCCGTCTTCTGAACCTTTAGTGCGGATGTTCAAGAACCGCAATGATACACCTGTTGAAAATATTGTAACAGATCAGTCACCTGCACATCTTGCTGCAGATAAGGTTGTCTCAAAAAATTTGGTAGATAAGGTTGCCTTGGAAAATATTGCAGATAAGGTTGCCTTGGAAAATATTCATTCCAAAACGGAGGAGCCGAAAAGTGACAACAAGGTACTTGAGCCAAAAAGTGACAATAGGGTACTTGACATTAGCATGTATGAAACTGATGAAACCCCTGTGACGAGCCCTGTGAAAGAAGTGGCATCTTCGGTTGCCGCTCATCCTATAAACGGGAAATCGAAGGAACCTTTTCGTGATGTTAGAAATGGGGTAACGGACCTGTCTACATCCATGAAAGAGGTTGAAATCTTATTTATCAAGGCATCTGATTCTGGCAAAGAAGTCCCGAGGATGCTTGAAGCGGATAAAGTCAATTTCCGCCCTTTGCTAACCGAAGAAAGAGGTTAGAACTCAATTAATTAGATTACTGTTCTGTAATATTTTGATGGAGCTTTGCTTCAAAACAAATGATAGAAAGGTTCTGGATGCAACACTGCAGAACTCATGATGTGAAACTATATCAATATTACTTGTACCAATGGCCATTATTACCTGCTGTTCCTTCTCTTTCTAGTTTAATACTTGGGTTAACTTAAGTAATTATAATGCAGCACGTGGATTAAAGGCACCAGGCTTTTTTGCAACACTCTTTGCTTGCTGCAGGGAGCAAGTCCCTGTTCCTCAGCGTAAGTTTTTTCTAACTCTCAGTGACAGTCTTCCTTCCATTTTCCAGCACACAATTCTAGTTCCTGTGATTACATCGTATGATGTCATTTGCATGTTATTTCTTCCATGATCTTCCGTTGAAGTGGCTTATTTTTCTACGTGCCGGAAAATGATATGTTCCATGAAGATATGTTCTACTTTTCACGGTTTCCTGTATAGAGCTTGACCATTGATTATCCTAACATGTTAGTATAACTGTATGAATATCATTGGTGAAGTCGAAAAATTCTGAATACAAGGGCATATCTACAGTTTATGCGACCAACATATGTTATTTCTTTATGTGCAAAGCTTTTGCACTTTCTCTAAATAAAATTGTTATTATTTCATCTGTTATCCTGTTGTAAATGGTAGGGAGGAATAAATATCTTGTGCTTTATTGCAGCTCCACCACAAGCCGACATGAAGCATCTTACCTGGCATAGATCAGTGTCTTCGCACTCTTCGTCATCAAGAAATCCTCTTGGGGCAGCATCGAAAGTTGATGTCGATGGTCTCACTGGAAATATCTTTAGTGGTGTATACATGAATTCTGGCAGTCACGCTTCCACACTGGATAGATTGTATGCATGGGAGAGAAAGCTCTGTGATGAAGTTAAGGTAAAAGCTTATTTGGCCGGTCCTTTACGAGATACTCTTTTTTTCTTAATCTGTTTTAGCCACTGTTTTAAACTAGATAACACCTTATGCGTTGCTAGAAAATTTTATAGCAATTAAATTATCAAAGGTAAAATCAGAATATATGAGAATAATACCACACCACATTTTCGTCATATGAATGATAGCAAACGTAGAGGTAAATAGATGGTGGATGCATGTTATATTGTCTTGTGACATTCAAGTTCAATTATTTGTTGCTGAAAAAAAATTGATTATATGGAGGACTTGCATGTGGTGGAAACTGCAAGGGTTGCATGCACATGATGATGTAGATGGCTTTCATGTGCATTTTAAATGCGATCACTTGCTTATGAAAAAATAAAAATAAAAATTGATGAAGTGGAGGACTTGCATGTGGTGGAAAGTGGAAGGTTTGCATATGCTTGATGTTGTGGATGGCTTGCGTGCCCATTTAAATGGGATCACTTACTTAGATATGTAGGATATCACGTAGTAGAGGCTTATTATGTACTCTTTTTTTGAAATAAAATAACGCAAATTGCACTGGGGTTATAATGATGTTCTTTTATCTCAAGCTTGGAGTATTGATTAAAAATGGAAGATGAAACAATGTGCAACAAACAGAGCCTGAAATATATTTATATTGAATGTTGGTACACATGATATGCCACTTGAATATGCATTTAGCAGTTTGTGCCATTCCTATTTTCTGTGTTTGAATTATTTGTACTATTATTCCTGAATAAATGATACATCTCTATGTCCTTTTGCCTTGAGTCTGTGAATTGGTTGACACCTCCATATTTTCTTGCCTTTTTTCTTTAAATGACCTCTCCATGTCTTTTCACCATATTTAGTGTTTCTGTAAATGCTAACCTTTGTATTGCCTTCAGGCTAGCAGTACAATTTGCAGGCAGTATGATGAGAAATGTAGGTACCTGAGAAACCAGGAATCAAGAGGAGAAAGCCAAATGAGTGTTGACAGAACCCGTGCTGTTGTGAAGGATTTGTACTCCAGAATTTGTGTGGCCATTCAGAGAATTGACATGATTTCCAAGAACATAGAGGATCTGAGGGACAAAGAGCTTCAACCGCAGCTTGAAGAATTAATTGGAAGGTATTGGTTTTCCATCTATTTCGTACGTAACTACATACATATTGCAATTCAATAGGCATTTTCTGGAATGATCTTAGTTTATCATTTGCTCTTGGTTAAAATATTCACATTCTTTGCAGCTTAACTCGCATGTGGGAAACAATGCTCGAGTGTCACCGGCATCAACACGAGATTATTAAGCTAGTATCCAACAGTGGCGGTATAAAGGTCTTAATCCGGTCGGAATCACAGTTCCAAGCAACTCTACTCCTTCAGGTTGAACTAAAGTCACTATTTTCAAACTTCCAGAGATGGATAGTATCCCATAGATCTTACTTGAATAGCCTACAGTCATGGTTACTGAAGTGTGTGAAATCACTAAGGACGAAGAAAAAATCTAGAAAGAAGAAGGATACCAATTTTCAAATAACAAATTTTGCTGTTGCACCCATATTTACAATCTGTGAGCAGTGGATTCAGTTACTGGACGAGTTGCCAATCGAAGACTTGGAAGGTGGCATTAAAGGTCTCCTTGCAGATATAAACCATTGTATGCCTCGTCAAGAGAAGAGGCGTGGTGGTTCAAGGTCTACATTCGCAATACCTAATGGAGGGTTGAATGATGAAATGAGGGGAATCCATAGAAATGACGCTCATACGGATTTACAGTCGAGCCTGGAGAGCTTCCTAGGGAAGCTTGAATTCTTCTCAGATGTTTCAGTGCACAAATATGGTGAACTCAAGAAAAAAGTTAATACGGCAAAGGAGAAATATGAGCAACAGAACAAGTAACTTAAGGAGGAGGCAAATCGGTTGCACTAATTTCTGGAGTGAAACATAATATAGCTCAAAAGTCATCAGAGATGGATAAATAAACCGTCCATTGTGTACATTCGTTCATCGAACTAATAGGCACAAATCACTGCCATCATATTTTGTGAGTTCATG